GTACTGGCTCTTTTACTTATTTTTGTCTCACTTTAACCCAGTAAATCCTATATCTTTAATTCTGTGACTAGTTCAACAAAAAATTATTTCAAATTACTGTAAATGGTATATTTATTGGTCATCTTAAGCCTTTATAGGTGTGCTTATATGTAGATGCATGGGACATAGTGGGTTACAGTGTTTTTATACCATTGCTGTCTCCCCCTTTTTGCATACTATAATTTTTTTTAATAGATTGATTGGTTTGAAAGTCAGAGTTTGAGTGAGTGAGCTAGCTAGCTGGCTTCTAACTTCTGTTCATTTCCAGGTAGCTGTGAGGCAGCCAGGATTTGAACTACAGCTCAGAGCCCCACAGCTCCAGCCCCATATATTATAATTTTTAACCCTAAAGAGATGCTTTACTCTTTAGTATTCCGGTTCCTAAAGCATTGCTGTTGCATTTCTATTATATTGTCTCATCTCTTAAAGACTTCATTCATCCTGTAAAATTCAAGAAGAAGTACCTAAGAATTCAAAGGGATTTATCAGAGAACAGGGCATAAATTGAGGAAACCGCTTTGCTTCTTAAATTTTGAGTTAAATTCATAATTGAAGCCCATTTACTGAACAAAGCCTCTTAGAGAACTGATCGAGGTGACCTGATTCTTAACTGAAGTACCAGAACAGCATTTATCCTTCATTTGGTTTAAGATATAATTGGTTAGCTCTTTTATTTTATAATCTGATAATAAAATTTTTGGACCAGAAATCAGAAGGCCCTGTCTTTCTGTATCTGTTGTTGAAAGCTGGTTGTAGGCCAGCTTGTGCTTCAGTGTCTTCAATGTCTTCCTTTATGAACTGGGCTAAAAATTTGAGGTTTTAGGAAAATTAATGAGATGATAATTGAGTGGCACCTGTGGGAGTTCTGTTACCTCATAAGCACAATTTAAGACGCACCAATTTTATTGCAGTACAGGGGAAGGAAATGTCTGACTTGTTTTAAATTAGGCCAGGTAAAGTTACATTTCCCATTGGGAAATCTCCTACTTATTTGTGATTTTTCTTTTTCTTTTATGAACTATTCCAAGCATATTTTAAAAGAAGAGAAAACCTGTCACATTTTGTATGTGTCTATAAGGAAGAGATCTTCCATCTGTTCGTTTGCTCCCTGAAGGCCAGCGATAACCAGTTTTAGGCAGGCCAAAACCAGGAGCCAGGAAGCCCAGCCTGGTCCCCACATAGACTCCACATAGACAGCGACTCAAGTTCTGGACCATCTTCTGCAGCCTGCCCAGGCGCTTCAGCAGGGAGCTGCATTCTTTTTGTCAGTAACATGTAATATTCTCCTAGACATTCAGAGACATTCTTGTGGTTTTTGCTGTTATGAACATTACTTTTGCTTTTTAAATTATTATTAACTGGAAAGAGGAAACACTCCCTCCAATCTGCTGATTCATTCCCCAGATGCCCATCTAGTTCGGGGCTATTATGCCTTACGCTGATACGAATATTGATTGATAAGTATGTATGCCTTCTTGATATTTGCTTACTGATCTTTAGCAGTCTTGGTAAGTTATTAGTTTTGATAAACTGACGTTTTTAGATTTTCTACATAAATAGATCACTTACAAATAATGACAGTTTTGGTTCTTAATCATATGCCTATTGTTTGTGTACTGGCTGATATCTCTAGTACAATGCTAGATGAAAACAAAGGATCAGTGTTAGAAGGTAATTCTGTATTCCTAACTGCAAAGGGTGTGATTGAAGTTTAAAATTTCACCATTATTAAATTTGAGGTTTGCTTTAGGTTTTTGATCTTTGCCTGATTAAAGAGCTTCACTTCTTTGTGAGGTGCACAGAGATCTTATAAAAGTTGAGTTTGTCAAATGCATTTTCTATACATTTTGCGATGATCATGAGAATTTTCTGAAATCCTACTTGTATGGCTTAGTTTACTAAGTCAGACTCGTTCAAGTGTGGTAATTTAATCATTGAAATATATTCAAATTCAAGTTCTTAGATTAAATGTTTTAAATGTTCAGTATATTTTAATCTTCTCCATGATTTAGTTTATAATATGGGACACCATTTATCTGTCACACCTGATGATAATTTTTGACCGCAAATTGCCAAGGTATGAGCTATGTCTTAGTCAGATTTTAATTTCCCAGAGGATATAGCACAGTGCCTTGCAAATGACAGGTTCTTAATAAAGAACTGGTCTATTAGGGCTACTGTTTTTTTCTAAATAGTCTGGTTTGGACATCATGAATTATTTTATTCCCCATTCCCCAAGCTCTATTATCATGCTGGCAGCAATTGTAACTTTAGAGAATCACAGAAAGTTAAATAACCGAAGGTTGGAGGGCTTTTTTCTCTTTAGTATCTAAGCTTTATTCACTGATCACTATTTGAGTGCCAACTAAGAGCCAGGCTTGGCTTGGAGCTACCAGTAATGCAAAATGAATATGCATGGATACCTCTCAAGATCCTTGTACTCTAGTTAGAAGTAAGATCTGTGTAGGGATTATTCTATTTTTTAGAATGTTTATGTATTTGTTTATATAAATTATTCTAATGCAAGATAGAAAATGATCACTAGGAATTTAGAGGCAAAGAGGGATTAAATGGACTTTGTAGATTTGGTAGCTCTTGACTATTCAATTTATTTCCTGATTTTTAAGTTACATTTCCCATTGTTGTGGTGGTAAATAAATAATCTGTGAATAAATATGTTAAATTCTTCAAGAGGCTGAGGTTTTCATTTTATTGTAAAAGTCTTTGAAATGATTCTCAAATAAATCTGAGGATGCAGATGCTGCCGAACAATGTACAAAGCCTCTTATGATCTGCCCTATTTATTTGCCTCTTATTCCCGTTCCTCTACCACATTGGGACATATATGTGACTCATGGTAGCAGCATAGATTCTGATTTCATGATTTTATTAATTCTTTGCTTCATAATTTCTTTTAGCTCTGTCTCCTGTGTATGTAATGAAATTTTGTGCTTTAGCATTTCATTCAACTATCTCCTTCCCCTGGGAAGTCTTCGCTAAACTCATTCGTTCATGTTCTCTCTGCTTTTATGTATTTTCTAGACGGATCCAACCAGTCTTGTTGATGGAAGCTGTATTTCCAGTGCCTAGCTAGCTTTAGCACATGATAGACATTTACAATTTATTTCCAAAATTACTGTTTGTTGAATAATGATTTTATATATATATATTTTATATATATATAAAGGCCTGGAAAACTGCCATTGGTTTGACAGTTGCTGGTTGTAGATTCTTTTGCAAGTATCTGTGTGCTTCTTGCTATTCATTTATGTACAATTAGGAGAGCTGCCAAACAGGGTGGGCGTGTGCACATTTGGCTGTCTCGGCAGCTGATAGCACATGTTGGACATGAATATTTCCATTTGTCATTTTCATTCCTCCACCCTAAAACTAATTATGTTAGAAACAATTTCTTATCTCCTTAGGTGTTTATGCCAGACAAAAGCTTAAACAACACATGAATATTTTATCATTCACATTTCATAATACCTTATAACTGCATGAAATTCTTGTAACTTTGTGTAGATGGGATTATCTTTCATGGCGTGATAAATCCTGCATTTGTTCTTACTGTGTACTACTTCCTTGCAGTGCTCTCAATGCCTTGAGCTTCTACACACAGCAGAATATAATGTGGCGCTCTCAGCATTTGATCTGATTCTTGGGCTAATCAGTTTTGTTCAGCCTTAATGTCTGAGTACAGAACCTCAATGTAGTAACATACTTATCTAGCCCTTGTGTTACTATTGCTATGACATCTGAGGTTTAGTAATAGCATCAAGGTAAAATTGTTAGAATTGAAAACATACAACCTCATGTTTACATTCCTAAATGATGTCTTGCTTCATCCATGAACCTGAGTACACATCAAAAATTAGCAGTGACTCCAAAGTGACAAGGGTAAAGGAAGAGCGATAAAAGAATGCAAAGAGATCTAAGAACCGTGTCATGGCTGCAAATGTTGTTCTAGTGGAAAGTTATTCCCTTCAGTGAATCTAAATAAAAATTCTGTGATAATTGTATGCTAGTTCTATCTTTGTTTTTATGAATCAGTATTCACCCATTTTTTCTATTTTTCATGATAAAACATGAAGAATTTTATCAAACGAATGCTTAAGGCAGAGTAGCAGAAAGACAGGATTATTTTTAGACAACCAACTTTGTCCCCTTTTGAGGTTTTAATTGTTTGAAGAAGTTTGGCTTCATAATGTTAGTGTTTGTTTTGTCCCTTCTAATTTTTTTTGTGATTTGTAAATTGTTAGGAATGGCTTTTATACCTGATAAGATATGTAAACAGCTTGTAGCAAGCTAATACACAATTTTGTAAATGGCCCAATTCAGATATAACCTGAACATGTAACATGTAAGGTTCAGCTTGCATGACAAAGTCATATTACAGCCTTTTCTGATTTTTTTTTTTTACTGATTTATTATTGCCCATTTAATTTAGCGAACACAGAGATATAAAGGTCTTCCAGCTGCTGGCTTAATCCCCAAATTGGCCACATGGGCGGCAGGGTTCCATGTACTTGAGTCATCATCTGCGGCTTCCCAAGGTACATATACTAGCAGGAAGCTGACTCAGGTGGAGCTGGAATTTGAACCAGGCATTCTGATAACAGGATGTGGGCACCCAAGGTGGTATCTTAACTACCATCACCAAATGCCCTCTCTTCTGAGTTTTTAAGTGTTAAAAAAAAAAAAGCTGTCTTTAAAAGTTCTGCTTGGGAAATAGAAATTATGAAACGTATCATTGCTGGAGACATCTAACAGGGAGTGTTGAGTCAGAAGTCCACAGAACGCCCCCAGCACCCTAGTCCGAGAAACATTGTGAGGAGTCCTTGCACCGCCACGTAATCATTCTTGCTTGATTGGGATCAGAGATCCAAGTCCTTGGATCTTTCTGTTTTTGTTGGTTTCTAGACTCTGCTTGCAGAGACGCTGACTTTGTCATCTTTTAGGATCCAGATGACGTGGTACCAGTCGGTCAGAGAAGAGCCTGGTGCTGGTGCATGTGCTTTGGACTTGCTTTCATGCTTGCCGGTGTTATCCTGGGAGGAGCATACCTGTATAAATATTTTGCACTTCAAGTAAGTTGAAAAACTTTTTGTCTTTTGCTTTTTGATTTTTGGCCTGCCCTCCACATGTATTGGAAAATTATGCTTGTTTTCAGTGGCTTTTAGCCAGACTGCAGGCTCTAAAGTTAGGTTGAAAAATCTTGATTATACTTGTTAGCCCATTAGATCTGTAGTCACTGAAAGTGGGTTAACTTTGGCACACTTGCTGACTGAATGGCTTGGTTTAGATGACTTTTTTTGTTTGTTTTTCTTTAATATATATATATTTATTTATTTATTAATTACATCGCATTATGTGACACAGTTTCCTAGGCTCTGGGATTCCCCCTTGGAAGACTTTTTTTTAAAAACAAAAAATTTTTAAGGAGTTACAGAAAGGAGAGTGAGAGAAAGAAGTCTTCCATTTGCTGGTTCACTGCCCAAATGGGACCTCAGTAGCTGGAGTTGGGCCCGTCATGAGCCAAGAGCTTCCTCTGGGTCTCCCACATGGGTAAGGACTTTGGGTGCTCCTCCACTGCCTTCCCAGGCCAGTAGCAGGGAGCTAGATTGGAAGTGGAGCTGCTGGGACTCAATCTGGTGCTCATACGGGATGCTGGTGCCACAGAACTGGCTCCAGTTTGGGTGACTTTTCAAAATTGACCAGGCTTCTTTCTCCTTCTGTAATTAATGGTTAACAGGTGTGGCATCATCTGTTGTCAGCTGGATATACTAATATTAGCCACACAAATGTTGACTATCATTAGTTTGAATTCCCTCCACAATAGCCTTTTTTTTTTTAAAGATTTGTTTATTTTTATTGGAAAGGAAGATTTACAGATTTACAGAGAGAAGGTGAAACAGCAAGAAAGATATTCCCTCTGCTGTTTCATTCCCCAAAAGGCTGCAACTGCTGGAGCTGAGCCAATCTGAAGCCAGGAGCATCCAGGAGCTTCTTCCTGGTCTCCCATGTGGTTGCAGGGTTCCAAGGCTTTGGGCTGTCCTTTGCTGCCTTCCCATGCTGCAAGCAGGAAGCTGGATGGGAAGTAGAGCTCCGGGACACAAACCAGCACCCACAGGGGATCTCTGCGTTTGAAGGGGAGGACTAGCTGATTGAGCCGTTGCACCAGGCCCCCCCACAATGTCATTTGCTGTCTGAACCAGAGAATACGGGCACCCATTCTCTGCCTGCTTGCTCCTCAGTGTTATCTAAAGAATCAGGTGAATTCAGCAGTGATGTTGAGGTTATTTAGAATGAAAGCTGCTTACAATTTAAGGATCCCAGCTGATTAACAGATTGATTTTATTCCAGTTAGTTCAGATCTGTGATCTGTGTTTTGTGATTGTATCAGGTCACTTCTTTCTTTCAGGAATCTTGGTGGGGAAGGCAAATTGCCTTCAAGCTTTATGACTGCTTCAACAGTAGATAACAAAAGCTGGGGAAACAGTTGACAGCTGGATTTATTAAACTCAATCTAAGTAGCCAATTTTGAAACCTAGAGGATAGTTCCTTTCCTGTGGATATTGCTAGGTACTACTGAAATACAAGTCATCTTTTTAAATATAAATTTTAGTGAAGATTTTAAAGTAATTAATATTTGGTAGTTTTAGGAAAAATCAAAGCTACCCATTTGTATGTGGAAATTTTAGAAAAATTTCTCCTTTTGGCTAATGAGAGAAAAATGATTTAACCAGCAAACCACTTAAAAGTATTTAAAATGTGTTCTGTCTGAACCATATTAGTTTCAACATAGTTTTTTGTTGTTGTTAAAAATTATGTACAGTTAGAAGAATGCCTGGGTGTTCTTCAGATATACTTGCTACCAGAAGGATAACCACTTTTTAAATTCTATTTTTATCTACCTCAGAAAGCACTGGTTCTTTAAGCAGTACTTCAAAACCTGATCTTAAAGAATGTGCTAGCTCAGTAATTAAGCTGTCTGACTTGTCATCTGAAAGTAAGAGTTTGCAAGCAAAATGCTATTTGGGTAGAAGTGGCAGCCTAAGTAATGCTCGCGTTTAAAAACCGGTCTCACATGGAGTTGCTGAGCTGAATGTCGGAACTCTCTGCAGCCGGATGACGTGTACTACTGCGGAATCAAGTACATTAAGGATGACGTCGTCCTAAACGAGCCTTCTGCAGATGCCCCGGCTGCTCGCTACCAGACTATCGAAGAGAACATTAAGATCTTTGAGGAAGATGAGGTTGAATTCATCAGTGTGCCTGTTCCAGAGTTTGCAGACAGTGATCCTGCCAACATTGTTCATGACTTTAATAAGGTGAGCTGTGCGTCCAGAATTATTAAAAACATGCAAGTTCTTTGCCATACGGTTTTTATAGTCCTAATGTCAATGTTTGCTAAATATTCTATTGTACTGTGTGGTTTTTACCAAATATTTTAAAAATGAACTTGGCATTCTGTATCCCACAGGATGAACTGTCAGCATTTGCTGGCACACTGCTTTTTCTGAACCAGACCCCCAGTGACTGGCCTTCTTGTTATTCTTTATTATTCTTTCCCTTGGTTTGTCTTCTTCTTCTTCCTAGATTTTATTTATTTATTGGAAAGGTAGAGTTAGAGAAAGACAGAGATATCTTCTATCCTTTCATTCATTTCCCAGATATCTGCAGTGGTCAAGGCTGAACCCAAAATGAAGCCAAGAGCAATGGCTTCATCTGGGTCTCCCATACCAGTGTAGTTACCCAAGTACTTGGGTGGTCTCTCACTGTTTTCCCAGGCTCATAACCAGGGAGCTGGATCAGAAATGAAGGTACTCAAACCTCCTATTTAGGATACTAGTATACTGTGCCACAATGCCAAGCCCATTTTATGGCTTTTCCTCTTTGTTGGCAAATAATTCATGTTCCTGTTTTGTTGTAGCATTTATACTTTTGTCACTTTTGAACATTTTTATGCAATGTGGAAAAGTTGGAATACTTTACATCTTCCATCTAGTTCAGAATTTTGTCATTCTGGCTTTACCTCTTTTTCACATGTTTAACACAGTCCTAAATGTTTAGGCTGTTACCTCTGAAGAATAAAGATGTTCTCTCATAAGCACCATATCATTAACTTGATGCTAGTATTATGTAATATCAACTGCCTCAGCAATTTTTGTCACAGCAAATTTTTGTTTTAAATTAGGATTCAGAGATTCATGAGTTCATGTAGTACCTGTGGTTCTTAGGCTTGTCTCTAAGCCTGCCACATTGAATTCTTACCCTATCGCTGAAGTTAGTTTTCCAAACATTTCATGCCTTGTAAATGCATTTGGTGAATTTTAAACCAATTGACAAATTACTTTAAAGTAAGATAAACTTTATCAAAGCAAATAGTTAATCACAATAGGTAATAGTTATTAAGCTCTCAGAAATCTAAGTTTTTACCTGTTTGGTTTAATTCCATTGTAGGCAGTGGTCCTTTTCAGTGGAAGTTTCTCTTTGGAGCAAGGGAACATAAAACCATTTAAATAACTTTGTCCATTGCCCTAGGGATGGTTATAGTGTTTCAAGTGCATAAAAGAGATGTTTCATCTTGATATGCAATGGATTGATTGCTTAGAGGACATTTGGTCTTAGAAGTGAGGAGTCTAAATCCCGTAATCAGGTTTTAGGCATTTATATCTAATTTTAATAGGTTTTACTTATTATAGAAACAAGCTCCTAATAGAAATGTTTCCTCTCCTATTCCTATTCCTGTTCTTATTCCTGTCTCCACCAAATTCTCAATTTATTGAAACATATGTGATAACATTTTGTAAAGATACCCCATTTTAATGGTTTAGATTATTCTCAAAACTCAGAAAGCAAACCAGTTTTTGCTCTGAAATACTGATTGTTGCTGGCTGGCTACAAATAATAATAAACTGAAATTTATGTCTTTCTTCCTAGAAACTTACGGCCTACTTAGATCTTAACCTGGACAAGTGCTATGTGATCCCTCTGAACACTTCGATTGTCATGCCACCCAGAAACCTGTTGGAGTTACTTATTAACATCAAGGTATAAAAATGTTGAATTCTATTATAGTGTCTTGGCATTTCCTGCTGAGACATTATCCCTTTAAGAGTCCAAACTACCAAAGTATTAGTAGGCACATTACAAAGAGAAGTTAAAACTTGTTTTTGTTGTTGTTGTTGTTTTTGTTTTAGCATTTTTCATTTTGAAATTAAAAAAATATATTTTTCTATGATGGTGTTCTTAATTTGCCAGAGTAAATATTAGCCAACTACCTAATTTTGATGCCTTGGATAATATGTAAACAAGCATGACTGTATTCCAGAAAACTGGCACTAAAATAGGTGGGGAATATGAGTTTGTCAGCCTCTGTTTCAAAGTATAAATTCTAAAAATTTTGCCTGTTTTTCTACTCTGCTCAAGGTATGTTGTAAGATAATCATGTACTACTTTCTTTATATGTAGGCTGGAACTTATTTGCCTCAGTCATACCTGATTCATGAGCACATGGTCATTACTGATCGCATTGACAACATCGATCACCTGGGTTTCTTTATTTACCGACTGTGTCATGACAAGGAAACTTACAAACTGCAACGCAGAGACACTATTAGAGGTAATTCTTTTCAGTGTTCCTTTATTAGCAGCAAAGTTCATTATGCTATGTCACTTTGAGCTAACTTTAGGGGAAATCTAGTCATCATTAACAGTGTGCTAGTCACATGAAAAAATAAAATTACACATGTCACTACAAGTACTTTCAGAGAACCATCCAAATTCTGTGTCTACTCTTTTCAGAAGAGGTCCATGTGAAATGCCACTGCCTTGAAATGGTGGTGGTACGTCTTTGTATGTATCTGCTAGTCCAACTTCCCTTTGGTTCAGCCATACTATAAGAGATCTTTTGTTTTAATATGTATTAATTTACTTAAAAGGCAAAACATAGAGGAGACAGAGATGGCAGTTTTCCATCTGCTGGTTCATTCCCCAAATGCCTTTACACAGCTACAGCTGGTCCAGGCTGAAGTCAGGAGCCTGTTTGTCTGTTGTCCCATTCAGGTCTCCTATCTGTGAGGTCACCCAAGATGCATTAGCAGAAAGCTAGATTTAAAGTGGAATAGCTGCTGCTCAAACCAGAACCCTGATGCAGTGTGCTGACACCTCAAGCTAGGGCCTGATCCATTGTACCACATGCCTGCCCTCTACCCCTAATTATATGTTCTGAAGAGGAGGGGTTGTCTTTAGAATGGTATGTAAAATGGACCCCTGCAAAGGTTCTTAACATCATAGGGGTCTCTTGAGACTGGCTGTTTAGCTGTGTTCTCGGGAAACTGGATTCTGAGCAGATTGCTTGATTTCTCCGAATCACATTGGGAGATGATCTGTCCAGATTAATAGGAAAGGAATTTGGATGACAACCTAAGAGCACTGTCAAAACTAATGTTGTAACTTTGGTAACTCATTTTCATACCTCAAAAGTAAGGATAATAGTAGCTCCTTATTTCCTTTTAAGATCATTATGAAAATGAAAGTACATGTAACAGTGTAGAAAGTGAGACATACCATTCAAATATAGGATTTCTTTAGAATTGGGTAACACAGGAACGGTGCTTTTTTTGCTTTTTAAACAAGACATTTAAACACAACATTTCTTTTACCTATGCTGATGAGTCATCCAAAAGCTACTGCTTAATTTCTTAGATTTTAAAATTGACTCATATCTTGTAAGTCAGAGAGTTAGACATACATTGAAGCTTGCCCTTTGTAGCAGCCAGTTGTGAATTTATACAAAGACACACAAGGTTATGCAAATATGTCGTAGTCAATGTGGATAGCATTTTCAGGCCTAGTTCATCAGTTTGCAGTAATATGCATATATTAAACGGAAGCAATTCTTTTCTCCAGTGTAACAAATTGAGCCTATAGACAGTCATGAAATATATAGTGAGGTTCTTCAGTATGACTCAGTAACTATGAAACTTATGGTAAATACTTCCTAAATGAAAAAAGAAAATTTTTAAAACTTTGTTTCCCTAACAGGTCTTCAGAAACGTGAGGCCAGTGATTGTGTCACAATTCGGCATTTTGAAAACAAATTTGCCGTGGAAACTTTAATTTGTTCTTGAATAGTCAAGACAAGCATTAATGGAAAAACATTTACTACCACAGCATAACCCCATCCTTTGTATTTTGTGCAGTGATTATTTTTTAAAATCTTTTCATGTAAGTAGCAACCAGGGCTTCACTATCTTTCATCTCATCTTCAATTAAAACCATTACCTTTAAACATTTTTTTCTTCTTTCCAAGTGTGGTGTCTTTTATATTTGAACTAGTAATTGTATGAAGTCATAGACCAGTAGCACACTTCACCATAGATCCTAGGTGTTAGGAAAAATTAAATTTCTTTGAATCTCTTTTGTGGTTTTTTGATTTAGTTACATGTTCTCAAGAGGAAGGGTTATCTAAAGATAATCACACATATGCATATGTAAAATGGACCACGGTGACTTATTTGCAGTTGTTAGTTGCCCTGCTACCTTGTTTATTAGAGCATTTGAGCACTCATCCTAGTTTTCCTCCAATTATAATGTGCAGTATTTTCAGTGTTGCATTCAACTATTTAGAGGACGATTTCCACCTTGCTGTTTTAATATCCGAGGCATCTGCTGTAATAATATTTTAGAAAATGTTTGGAATTTAAGAAATTACATGTGTTACTAATTTGTATAACCCATATCTGTGCAATGGAATATAAATATCACAAAGTTGTTTGACTAGACTGTGTGTTGTTTTTCCCATATAATAAAACCAAAGAGTCATTTGGTTCTTCATATCTTAAGATATCACATAAAGGAAAAAAACTATTTAGAAAATCCAGTTCTCCTAGTAAAATCGGAGCTTTAAAAAAATTTCCAGATTGTTAATGGATACAATGAAAGTAACATATAAAACTCAACTTTGAATGATGCTGTTTGATATGTAATAATTTGCTGTTTAATGGAGGAGGTTCTCTGAAGCTTCTCTGAAGGTCTCCCTCACCCCCCACAGATCTGGACAGATAGACTTTAGAGTGATGTTTTTTTACATTTCTGAGGTTGCTTCCTGTCTGAGGTAATTCAGAGCTCACTGTTTGGAACATCTAAGAGTAATTCAGTACAAATTCCCGAGACAAAAGTAACTAACTCACTTCTGAGTTTAGGAGGCTAACATTTTTAAAACTTCAAAAGCAAACTCATAAAGGATGTGATCCAGAAACCAGTTCTAGTTCCAGAGAGCATTGTTTGACTCCCAGCTCCTGATTTTTGTCTCAAAGCTTTCAGCCAACTAGGTAGGCGTTTAGTGTCTGAAAATTTTTCTTTAAAGAGAACATTTTCCAATAAAATGAATTTGCTTTTTTCGTTACCTTCTAGGCTCTAAAATTTATTGATTATTTTTTTCCCCCAGAGAATTATGAACATTTAGAAGCATATTACTCATTCCACAAATACTTACTGAGCATCCTTTTTGTGTCTGACAAGTACTGAGGGTGTAGTCACGAAGAAGGTGGAGAGCTGCTGCCTTCATGGAGATGCAGGCTAGCGAGGGATACTGGTCAGTGCCCAGCAAGTTGGAATATGTGTGGCTGCTCCTGAGGGGGGAGAATAAGTCTGTGTGCTGTAGCCCACTCAGCAGGTTCTGTGACGTTCTAGCATATAATGTTTACAGGATCAGGTCATGGAGGACCTTGCTCACCAGACCATGGGTTCCTGGAGCATATCTTAAAATGGGCATTTTTCTCTTTTCTCATTGTAGTAGTAATGCTGTGTTTGGATACATGAGCTGCAGACAGCCCCAGGATCTACTGGCTTCTCACAACAGTGTAGCCTCCCAGGCACCCAGACTCACACTTAAAACAATAACTTCGTTAGAATTTTTTGAAGTTCTTACAAAATTCTTGAGTAAATACATTTTTCAGAACATTTACAAATATTGATTTTGCCAGATTAGTCTAAATTTTTATCCATGATTTTACTTTTTTTCTACTATAAATTATAAGTGCCTTTTCTGAATATCAAGTGAGTATAAAATGTCCCCACACCCAAGCTTGGTCTTTTATTAGATGCCTCCCTGGAATGTTGGAATTCTGACAGATCCATGGCTATTCCCTGTGAACTCATGGGCCATGCTAGATAAAGGTTGAAAAAAACAGAGGGTGAGTAAGTTGACAGACTGACTCTTGGGGGTCTCAGGAGATTCAGGTGTCCTTCCTAACCTGGGAGTGCCATAACAGAATATAGATATTGTAAATACTGGAAGTCTCCTCCATAGTTCTGAGGGATTGCAATATGCAAGACAAGGTACCTGCACATTCATTGTCTGCTGAGGGTCTGCGTTCTCCTGGGTGGCCCTTCAACCTCTCTGTGGTTCCTCATGGCATATCAGGCTTCTCAGAGGAGCCCATCTATATCTTGGGAGTGAGAAGCTTTAACCCAAGGGGCTGGTAAATAGAATAACGAAAATGCTTTGGACAGCATTACAATACAAGCTTTCTGTGCACCATATTGCTGCAGTGATAGCAAGTAAAAGTGCTGTTTCTTCTTAAAAATGCTCTTGTGTCTGAAAGGCAGAGCAACAGTAGGGACAAGAAATCTTTCATCCAGTGATATACTCCTTAAATGCTGACAACAGCTGAGACTGGTCCAGGTGGAAGCCAGGAGCCAGGAACTCCTACCTGGATCTCACTTGAGTTGCAGGGACTCAAGTACTTGAGCCATCGTCTGCTATCTTGTATGCAAGTTAGCAGGAAGTCACATCAGATCTTGGTGTCTTAAACACTTGCTTGCTTACCCAACTGAGTGCTGCAGTCCTGCCCCTGAATTTTTTTTTTTTATGTGTAACTTCTCATTTCTGTTTTACCAGAATCCCTTTATTATCTTTTCCACACTCAGTAAGTAGGAAAAAAAATACACTCTGTTCTTAGTGGTTTGTATCAAATAACAGGTAGGAGTGTGCCCCTTCCTAGTCAATGCTCCTTCAATCTGCTTCAAATACTATCTGATATTTATAATCATGCATTTTTTTCTTGGCAGTTCTTGAGCTGTGCTTGAATAGGTTTTTACAAGGGTAATTCAGACCAGTTTATTGACGGTGGAAGTAAAATATAAAATGTATTTTTGTGCAGAAAATATGAATCTACAATTTTTTTGTGAATTTTCTAGAAAATTCTTCATTTGCATGTGTTTTAAAATTTATTTTTAAGATTATTTTCCTTGAAAACCAGAGTTAGATGGACAGAGAGGGAATCTTCCATCTGCTGGTTAACTCCCCAAGTGGCCGCAACAGCTGGAACTGAGCTGATCAGGAGCCAGGAGCTTCTGCGTCTCCCATGTGGGTGCAAGGTCCCAAGCACTTGAACCATCCCTGCTGCTTTCCCAGAGCACAAGCAGGGAGCTAGATGGGAAGTGGAGCGCTGCGACAGGTCATCCAAAGCGCAACCGTTTCTCACTTTAATGCCAACATACTAGTCAGAACCACAGTTATCTCTTGCTTGGATGACTCATTCAGCAACCTGCTAACTGGCCTTGCTGCTGCTATTGGGAGCTAGAGCCTACTCTCAACAGTGGCTTAGGCAATCCTTTCTAGAGCTAAGCCACATGTCCCTCTGCTTTCATCTCAACATCTTCATTCAAAATAGAAGCTAACATTCTGTTTCCCTACAAAGCCTCCCAGAACGCCTGCTTATATAACTTGCCACTTCTCCATAGCCACATGGCTGCCTCATTTTGTTTTGAACCTATGTCAAGCAATCCTGCCACAAAGCCTTTGCTCTCAAGTTTCCAGACAGAAATTCCACATCTGCATTTGTCCTTAAATATTTTTTTTGTTGTTTCTTTAAAGATAACAATAAATGTCACACAAAGTTAATTGGCTCCCGACATCAAACAACATCAAGCCTTTCTTTTGCTTTTTTTCTTCCCTTTCAGTGGTGGAATTTTATTCAGGGTTTGGAATGGCCACAGGAATGTAAGTTAAGTAACACCCTAGATTTGGTTGCCATGTTCTTAAAGTGAGCTGTGGAGCTGGCACTGTGTCACAGCCAGTTGCTGCTCACAGCACCAGCATCCCCTCGCGAAGCAACGGTTCCAGTCTCAGCTGCTCTGCTTGCACTCCAGCTTCTTGCTGTTGCTGCTGAAGTGCTTGAGCCCCTGTGACCCACATAGGAGACCCGGATGGAGTTCCAGATTCCTGGCTTTGGCTTGGCACAGTCCCAGCTATTGCAACCATTTGGAGAGTGATTTTGTTCCTCTCAAATAAATAAATCCTATTTTTGAAAAAGAAAGTGACCTTTGTTTCTTGTGTCTTCAGTAAAAAAAAAAGAAGTAGAAGATCATCTCTTTTTTATTTACTAAAGTTCAATTTACCTTTAAAATAGGGGTCCCTTGGATGTTGTAGTGTTGAATCACACGGGAGGAAAAAAAAAAACATCTCCAAGGGTGTTTTAAAGTTCAACTAAATTGCAAAGAAAAGGCCTTTGGGAAACCATTTTTACAATTCTGTGCATTGGCGTTTGAATGGCCTAGCACAGAACCAAGATTAAAAATAAAAATTGTAAGCTGCTACTTTTTGATTTATTCTAACAATTCTATCTCATGTCTAGTGTATCAGACATTGACATCAGAACTTAGTTCTGTTTTTTTAAGTTCATACTGTCATAGTAAGGCATTTCTGCCAGGTGACCCAGAAAATCTGGTTTTGTCCTGTCAATAAGTGACATGGAATGAGAGGCCATGTGTGCAGATTCCAGCTCTTAAGTTCTGCCTTGAAGGACTTGGCAAGTTCCATTGGTTGAATGAATAGTAAACCTGAATCTGTTGTAAGCGTTGCTTCCAATGTGAGAAAGGCTGGTGACTAATAAGACTAGTTTTGTCATCTCTTACAGAAAAAGCTAACATTGATCATGTCACATTTTGGCAGGATAGTTGATATTGTTGATATTGTATCCAATCATTTTGTTACCAGGCAGGCCTGGACAGTTCTATGTCTTAGCTATCTGAAGTACCTCCTCCCCAAGTATTTGAAAGAGCATGGTCAGAAAGGTGGTTATTATGGCTCTTGCCAGTATGAAAGTATTCCCCATCACCATCACCAAGGTCTAAGCAGAAATAATAGAAAAAAGAGAAATGAGTTTTCAGAATGGTTGAATGTACATTAAAACTATCTGCAAAGTCAAAAATGTATGTGGATCCTTTGAAGTTTTCTGCTAAAGCAAGCAAGTCTGGTACAGATCACCTTTGCACAGGGAGTTTGGCCAACGATGGGCAGTACTTAGCTCCAGTTGATCACAAAGCCACACACATGGGGCATTGCAGAGAAGCGGAATGGAAATTACATGGAAAAGTAGCAGGTGGAGGTCACAGCATCAATGATAACAAAAGCTGCTCCACGTGGAGACGCAAGCTAACAGGACAAAGTTATGTTAGTGAAGTTCGCATTAATGATGAGCTGAAGGCAAGTTCCAGCCTATTGACCTGTATCTCTGAAAGAATCAATCCTTAGCCAGAAAATGAAAGGTCCTTTTCCCTGTGGGCATGGGAGGTTACTTCAAAAAGTTAAAAATAAGTTTATTTGGGAACAAAAAGCACAAATTCATTCATCTCAAGGACCTTCAAAAATTGATAGAAAATGTATACGATGTACACTTTCAACACCAGAATAGGCATCTTTTAGAATGCACTTATTTTCTTAAAAGGTAGGTTAACAGAATCAGTCTTAACACCACTTGTTCTTT